ATAGATTGATATATAATATACCACTCACATCGATGATAGATTTTCATGAGAATCAAATGTCTGTTTTGTTAATGATAAACGAGTGCTTGATGAACGATCATGTTCATTATCAAGAACCAATGAGTTAGATGTCGTATCAAATGAATGTAAATCCGATTGATAATACTCATGTGTCGATAATGATTTATTAATCCCACGATTTAACTTTATATTACTAGTCACCGATGAAACCAAATTCACATGTCGAGAAATTGTTGTTGCTGCAGGAATAGTTGATGAACAATCAATCGAAACCGTAGNTATATATATGCAATTCTAGATCTATATTTCATCATTTCTCAATCATTTAATTTTACATTTCGTTCGACATACTTGTTGAAAGTTGAACACGATTATCTGAATCATTATCTTCACTATGGAATGCACCTATTCGAAAAAAATCGATAGTCTTCTGTACATTTTTCAAAAAATGTTTTTCAAGCTATTGGAAACATGGAAACTAACCTGGTGCATTTTCTGAATCATAAAAAAAACTTTTCACGAGTTTTCTTTTTTTCTTCATTGTTACTTCGATATTATCAAGAAAATCTTCATGATTTGAATCTATCGAGATATTTGTTAAATCATTTGCATGTGTATCACGTTCAACATCATTTGTAGAAGAATTTGAAGGTTGAAATTTTTTCGAACAGTTTAGTTTCTTGTTTTTTCTTTTAGGCATTGATAAATGTCGAACGAAATGTAAAATTAAATGATTGAGGAATGATGAAATATAGATCTAGAATTGCATATATATAGATAATTGTTTTACGTTATTAAAAGAGAAAAGTCTAGCAATAATACTGCAAATATTTAATTACATGTATCAGATGATCTTAAAACAAATAAATGGTGCTGAATAATTAGAATCGATTTAGTTATAAATGTTTGTTTGCTTTCAAAGTTACAAAGCCTTTCTATGTATGGAAACAATGAAGAAGTCTTTGTGCTTCTTACTATATCTGCCGGTTATTATTCTACTAGACAAAAGACTTCTTTATACATAAAATCCTACAATATTTAGTTTCTTTCTCTCTTTCAATCAAATTATTCTTTATGTAGCTGAATCTACAACTTCACATTAGCTGACAGTTTTAACTAATCATATGCAATTTTTTGCCGAGAGTATAGGAAAATTTTACGAAGTATTTTAAAGTGGCGTTTTACATTTAAACAAACGAAGAAAAATAAAAATTTACTATAAGAAAAGAAAAATCAAACAATGTGTCTTAAGAGTTTGATATGCCTGACCTCTGTCGACAGTGTCTTCAAATGTTGTTGTAGTTTCTTTATAAAATACTATATGTATCAATAAAAAAATTCTTATTTTGAATTATTTAGACATTATTTCATCGTCATTTGAGCGAGAATATATTTAGTTGACGAAAGATGACTGAAATAGTTCATCTGTTTAGGAATGTATAGAAATATAATATTCATTTTCTTCTACTGGATTCCGAAGTGACATGGTAATTCGAACGAAACATGCACTTCAGCATATACATCAATTCGATTTGATTGAAATTTTGCTTGAAAATTCATTTATTTTACTTTTTTAATGATCTGAATTTTGTTTTGGGTTTAAATCAATCTTGTCAGAACACCGAGTAAAATTATTAGAAAATGTGGCGCCATCTGTGGTAAGTTTTTTATTCTTCTGAGAAACAATTCAATCAAATTGTAATTCAATTTAAAAACAATTAATAGAAAAGAACAACAAGGAAATAGTCTATAGAAACCTTATTCGAAGAGATATTTAAATATGTTATAGGTTTGTTCGTCTATTCATCAGACCATCGATGATATATACTTATGTGTTTGGTTCTCTATTAGTGCATTATTACTGTTAATTATTTCGTCCGTTTCGTAGGTAAGTTGAATTTTAGTAATTTCTTTGAAATTTTGTCTGTAATAAAGAAAATTATTTTGATGAGATAAAGCTAATAAAAAAAAACATGTTATGCATAAAAATGTTCGATTTTTTTGTTTTCGAAAAAGAAAATTTTGAGAACATGACGAGTTTCGAACCAATGCGATTGGAATACCAGCTTTTTACAACACTGTTATATTTTTTGACCTAAAAGCGAATATTTTTACGTCGAAGCAAGTTACAATGATACTTTCTCTGATTAGGAAATGGCACCAAATGCACGAAACAGTCATATATGATATTTACTTTGAGACAGTGCCCAGTTATTAAATAAAACTCTTATATTATTTTTAATACTTTTTGTAAACAAGTTTCCTGCCTTAGTGATAAAATTCAGTCATCGATACAATTTTTATTAAACGAAAACATTAACACGAATATCGAGTTTTTCATTTTCTGAATTTGATAGTACTCATGTTATCATTAGCTTAATAATAAAAAAAGATCTTGCAATCGAACAAATTGATAGACAGTAATCGATAGATAGGTAATTAATAAAAAGATTAGGTTCTAAATTCAATAGTTCATTTGTTGAATCTGGAAAAATCCGATGAGCTCGATTAATAATGCATTGCATTGTGAATTCATTCGTGTCTATATATATGTATTTAAATCTTCGATTCAGGATATTTTTATTCTGAAGTTGATAGCAAAAGTACTGTTGAAAGCTGATGAAGAAGAAATGAAAAGTGAGCTTCATATTCGTCTTTTAT